TCAGGGGCCCAAAACTGAACACAGTACTCGAGGTGCGGCCTCACCAGTGCTGAGTACAGGGGCACTATCACCTCCCTGGTCCTGCTGGCCACACTCTTCCTGATACAAGCCAGGATGCCATTGGCCCTCTTGGCCACCTGGGCACACTGCTGGCTCATGTTCAGGCGGCTGTCAACCAACACCCCTAGGTCCTTTTCTACCAGGCAGCTCTCCAGCCACTCCTCCCCCAGCCTGTAGCATTGCATGGGGTTGTTGTGACCCAAGTGCAGGACCCGGCACTTAGCCTTGTTGAATCTCATGCAGTTGGCCCTGGCCCATCGATCCAGCCTGTCCAGGTCCCTCTGTAGGGCCTTCCTACCCTCCAGCAGATCAACACTCCCACCCAACTTGGTGTCATCTGCAAACTTACTGAGGGTGCACTCGATCCCCTCATGCAGATCATCAATGAAGATATTGAACAGGACCAGCCCCAGTCCTGAGCCCTGGGGAACACCTCTCCTATGAAGAGGAATACCTCTCCTATGAAGACAGGCTGAGAGAGTTGGGGTTGTACAGCCTGGAGAAGAGAAGGCTCAGAAGGCTCTGAGGAGACCTTATTGTGGCGTTTCATACTTAAAGAGGGCTTATAAGAAAGCTGAGGACAAACTTTTTAGTGGGGCCTGTAGCTGTAGGAAAAGGTGTAATGGTTTCAAACTACAAGAGTGTAGATTCAGGCTAGATCTAAGGAAGAAATTTTTTATTATGAGGGTGGTGAAACACTAGAACAGGTTGCCCAGAGAGGCTGTACATGCCCCATCCCTAGAAACATTCAAGGACAGGCTGGATGGGGCTCTGAGCAACCTGATCTAGTTGAAGATGTCCCTGCTTATTGCAGGGAAGGTTGGAATAGATGACCTTTAAAGGTCCCTTCCAACCCAAAACATTCTGTGTTTCTATGAAAGTTGAGCTTTCCTCATTTTTGCATCACTTGTGCAACTGACATGTCATAAAAATAATGGCACATACCTGGTTGAGGCATTATTAATATTTTATCTTAGAAGATGCAAGCCTAAAACTAATTTAATTCACAAATGGGAATAATTATTTTTCAGTGCAAGCATTGACAGACATGCTGGTCAGTAATTTGGCATAGTTGTTGTCTTTCAGAAGGGACATCATATGTAGATGCAACAAGTTTTGCATGCATGATGGAGTTATATAGGCAAGGTTGGCCACAGCCCCTGCACGTATGGAACCTGCCTGTGTTAAACGCGTGCTACGTTGGTGACTGCAAATTCACTTAACCCCCAACAGAAATAAACTACAATAATGAACCTACATTTGTTCTAAATTTCTCTGTGATTTTGTGATGATCTGGCATGAATAATGCTTGTGTGTGTTGAAACAGTGCCATTAAAGGTTGCAGACATTTTCACATTATAATAAAGCATGCTATGTTCATCATATGTTGCATCCTATCATTCTTCTGTCCTTTGCGTTTTAGGATAGCAGTGTTTTCTGTGACCGTTTTGCATGATGATCGAATAGTGCTTGTGGCAGAGCAGCGCCCTGATGCGTCAGAGGAGGATAGTTTTCAGTGGATGAGCAGGGTTCTACAGGTAGTCAGTCTGTCCTTTCTCTCTTTCCAGGTGAATAAGGGTGATGTATGAAATGAGAATCTTGGAGTGTCTTTTTTTCCATGAGAAAAACCCATCAGTGTAACTACAGAGAGTTGTAATAAGCTGACTTCTGAATGTATTTCAGGGTTGATAGTTAACAGAATTTAAAAGTAAGACTTTCTTTCAGAATGTTTTTTAACTTCATACTACTAGGATTCTTAAAGTCCTAAGGATGATAGTTTTTGTTTATTTTAATTCTACATATTTCTGCTGATTTCACACTGGCTGGAAGAGTTAAGTCTGAAACTGCTTAAGGGTATATTTAGTGCTAAGTATCAAAACACACCCTGAAATCTTTTTATGTTACTAACATCCTTATTCTAGATCTCCAACAGCAAGCATTAAAATTTTTTTCTCTTGATTACTTTTTTGTATTTTTGTGGGGGGCCAGGAGGGAGGGGAATTCTGGTAGATTTGCATTTGAGGATTTCAGAATTAATTGATCAGTTCTAAGGAAGTAAAAAGTGAGAGAGAAATTATGTAAGACGACTGTCATGAAGGAACAACTCAAGGGAAGGCTAAAGAGAACAACTTAAGGGAAGATGCTTCTTAAGAGTAAGGCAGCTATGTAATAATGGTTTCTGTCTAATTTCAGCTTCGTAGTCTTTTTGGAGGGAATATCTGGTGATAGAAAGGCTGTTTTTTGTGGGAGAAAATATTTTTATTCCTCTTTTTAGAAGTGTCATAGCTAAAGTAGACACTTAAGTTTTAAGCAGCAAGATGTTTCCCTCCCTGGTTTTGTCGTTTTGTGTTCTACTGCGCTTTTGTGATTGTGCCATACGTGCTAAATTTGCTGTGGTATAATTTTGGCTTTTTAAAATCTCTGCACTTTTTGCCCACTTTTAAGAGACTTTCCTAATCCCTGACGTGCAGGTGGCATCCCCTTGATAGAGTGCACAAGCAAAGTCCTGGGTCTGCTCCTGCTCCCATTGAAGTCATGGCACAACTTCTATGAGTTCAGTGAGTGCAGAGTTGGACCCTTTATTTGCAAATTGTGGTGCAAGTAAAAATTTTAATGTTATTAAATGACTTGAATTCAATTTCTTGCTCTAGCTACATCCCAGTTGATAACATGGAATGTTTTTTTCTTTCTATCAAGGCAATTGATAGCATTCACCAAGTGGGCGTCTACTGTCTTGCCTTGGTACCAGCCAACACTTTGCCAAAGACTCCACTCGGAGGAATTCATATTTCAGAAACCAAGCAGCGCTTTTTAGAGGGTGCTCTGCACCCTTGTAATGTCTTGATGTGTCCACATACTTGCGTTACTAACCTGCCTAAGCCTCGACAGAAGCAACCAGGTGAGTAAACTAGAGCATGTTCCTTAGTTCCGTGTGTCTGTCTCTGAGGGTATGTGTGGAGTATGATCTGGAGGCAATGTGACAGCTCAGGGCTGCTCATGGCTTTAAGCTGCCTAACTTTGCAGAGCTAGTGGTGTTGTCAGAGCAGCTCAGAACTCAGTGAAGGCATTATGGGCTGTCTTGAATCCCAGGTAAATGCAAGGACGCACGGCATGTACCTAGTTCATGCTTCTGTAGCTACGTTATAAATTGTTCTTGTACTGGCCATCTTGCAAAGGCCGGTAACTCATGTAATAAAACTGAAGTACAGACAGACCTCAGTTTGCTGAATCAGTAATAAACTGATTTTTAATGTACCATACTGATAATGGACTGAATTTTAATGTACCATACTATCCTCTTCTCTCTTTTTCTATGCAATATGATCCTTGGTTTTAGCTTTTCATCTTTTCAGATCTATGTTACATATGGCATTTATAGTAATCTGCAGGCCGAATTATAGATTACTACATGTTTCTTACATTATTTTTCCTCATTTCGCACTATTTTTTCAAAATGAAGATGTTGGTCCTGCTTCAATGATAGTAGGAAACCTTGTTGCTGGAAAGAGAATTGCTCAAGCCTCAGGCAGAGATGTTGCCCAGTTGGAGGATAACGACCAGGCAAGAAAGGTAACACTGATGTCCTGGTATTATTAAATATTTGAACTGGCTTATTCAAAATGAGAGAAGACCAGTTATGGTATTCTGCTGAAACTAAGCATGCTGCATTTTGAGTGAATCTGAGTGTCTCCTTTTTTTTCCTGTTTCAGTTCCTGTATTTAGCAGATGTTCTTCAGTGGCGAGCTCAAACAACTCCAGATCATCCCCTCTTCCTTTTGTTGAATTCCAAGGTGAGATGCACTTTAGATCATACTTGGAGACTGATCTCAGTAAAAGATTGTTTGGATTCTAAGAAAATTCCAGCTAGAAGTCTTTTCCTAAAAGGCTTCGGGTTATGTTGATGATGTGGAATGTCACGGTTTTGAAGCAGACAAAAATTGCTAGTTAGCAAACAGCATAATTTTTCCACATCCGGAATTTTATTCCACATCTTTTATTCCACATCTGGAATTTCAGTATGCATTCTGCTTAGCTTAAAACATTGTAGTAATTGCATTTCCTGCTGGAACACAACTTTTGTCATATTAATGGAAGCCACAATTCTGTCTTCCTGCCGGAGCACAAGGGTAACTGGAAGTCAGAGCTGGAGGATTTTTTTTAATTAGAAGATCTAGAGCCTAAGTAGAGAACCCTTGGGACAGCTTTGGAGTCATATTTTCCAGGAGAACTGGAAATGAACACCTGCACACCCTTCAGACACTGATGCCTTGTCCTCAGCTAGGCTCTGCACCTAAAAAGGTTGTCACTTACAGCCCCTCAAACATGAACAAGTAAATGCTTCAGTTTTGGAGTACTGGCTCTATGTACTCACAGGCTCTATATCCTTATTTTATTCAAGGGCTGTCTGAGCCCTTATGACATATGGCAAGGCAACAGTCATGTTTCTCAGTAAATCCATCCTTTTTGCTCATAGCCACTCTGCTCTGCATGTGACTGTGAGTAGTTTGGAGCATTCACATACGCTGTGCATGCAGCACTTCATAAAGGGGTATGAAAAAGCATGTGCTTTTGTATGTTCCTCAGTATTTCAGCCTCCCCAGGCTTGAGGAGCACTACTGCTGTGCATATTTCAGAAAACTCAAATATTTTAGATTCTTCTACTGCTGTTCTGGCACTTTTTTATTCCTTTCTTTCCAGGAGGCAAAGTTGGTCAATTTTCGTTTGAGCCTGTACTCAGTAGCTACCCTTCCAGTGACAATAACAGCCCAGTGACAAATTGGGTCTAACTTGTGCTGTGCTGTCCCACAGACATGTGAGCCAGGGAACATGCTTTTGGAAGGTCCAGCAGCATCCTTGGGAAGTCATGGATTTGCCTTTGGGTCTCTCATTCAGACAGGCAAAATGGTTTAGGATGTGGTTCAAAGTTCTGACTTTTCTCATGAGACTGTGCTTTAGCAGAAGAAACTGCTTCAGTATGGTTATTATTAAAAGTCACGGAATTGGTTTATTCTCTCAAAGTGAAGAGGCTTTTGAGGGAAGTTTTCTAGTATGAAGGCCTTTTCTGGGTCACTTTGTTCAGGCAACTTCTACCCTTCACAAGGAGACTGCAAAAAGGAAACACAAAACTTAGGCATGAAGGAATTATCTGTTGGTGAACACATGCCTTAAATAACTGGGACTAATAAGCTACAATGCTAAACATTAGTGTGTTCACAGCTGTCTGTAAGAAACTCTGTTGTTTTATGCTTTTTCATGTCAATATTTTTATCCCAAGTCCTTGAGCTGCTACTATTCCTATATCAACAATAGACTGTATTTACTGTTCTTATTTTGCATGACTTGAGCTCCCAGGCTTTAACAACTGAGTAAAACTGAGCAGAATGCCAGTGCCATTCTGCATCAAACTAGGCCTTGGATCTGACAGCTGTGCACTTGGGCTGAGGATTACATGTGGCAGCTGGTCTTGGACTTGAAACTGAATACTTGTGTAGCAGACATTTGCTGTGAAAATCCTTATCTGTATAGCGGGAGGCTTCATTTGGTCTCTGACTGACTGTTTTCCTCTGAGGTAGTTGTCCAACCAGTTTTTCTTGCAACAGATTGTAGTCTTGGAAAAACGGATACATCCCAACCTCACAGGCTTAAGGCTAAGGCATCGCTTCCTAGGCTGGATAGCAAAAGGATGTTTTCTGTCTTCACATCAAAAACTGGACTAAGCCTTTTGGAATCTCCATGACTTTGCGACTGCCTAAGCAATTCAAAGATACAGCTGCTTCCATGTGAAAGACTTTCCAGATGCATAGTTGTGGGAAATACACTTTCTACAAGGTGGACAGTAGATGCACTGAAGCAGAAGTGACAGTGCGTACCAACCACACCTCAGGTTGCCTCTATGACCCTTTAAAAGAATATCTGTACCAAAGACATCAGCAGAGTTCCCTTTGCCCTTTTAAGGCTGCTGATTGCAAAAACATCTAGAGGTTTGGCTGAGCATGGTAGGGTAAAGCTGATGCAGTCCTTCACTTGCTGCTAAAACAATTGTGTTACTACTACTAGTGTGTTTTCTCCCTTGGACTGTGAAATCTCAAATATTTGTAAGGTATTCATTTTGTGGTACCAAATACATTTATAAGCTGCTTCACTGTCTGATGTTCAAAATAACATGTATAAAATTCTCTAGCATTCTAAAAGCTCATGGTACCAGCAGCATGGTTTCCGAAACACCAAGACAGAGTCTTTAAAAATGTTTGCTGTATCATTAAAACGACAATGAAATATTGCATCGGCAGCATGTACTTTGTTCAGTTTTAAACTGTTCTCCATAAAGTTTTCTGATGTTGCTTCTGTTTTGTGCAGGGCACTGTAGCTAGCACTGCATCGTGCATACAGTTGCACAAGAGAGCAGAGAGAGTGGCAGTCGCGCTGATGGAGAAAGGACGACTGAATGTTGGTGACCACGTGGCCCTGGTTTATCCTCCAGGTAAGGCAGTACAGACAGCAAAAATAAAAGTCAGACATCACAAGAAAAGAAACAACTGTCGCAAAGATAGAGCATTCAAACATCCATTTCATATAGTGGTATATGGCAGTGACTTAGTATTTCAAGGAAGAGACTTCCTTTTTGTCGTTTTATTATTATGTCGCTTCTCCAAGTGGCAAACTACATTTACCAAACATTTCATCTCACTGCTCCAGATGTCTAGGCAGTTATACGAGAGTAGTTTGATTTAAACCACATGAAATATTCTTGGTTTTTAGCCTCAGAGAATGGAATAAAACTGCATATATATCCGTTGAAAGCTAGATTAGGGATGTCAGTGTATGAACACACTTTCTTTCCTGAATGGCTGTCTCTAGAAATGAAATCTGGACCCCAGACTTGTAAATACACACTAGTAATGCAAGTGTACCTCAGCAAAGAAGTATTACGTCATAAAAGTAGGATGACTACATATTTCAGAGTGATAATTGTGAAAAACAAATGTATGCTTTTTAAAAGAATCTGAGTCGTCATCTTCAAAACCTACAATATCTTGTTTTGTTCTTTTTGTTATTTTGTACTACCTGTCCATGAAAATATATCCCTACAAATTTAAAGTTTGTAGGATTTGAATAACATTTGCTAACTCTCAAATGCAAAATATTTTAACCTTATAGAATTGGGCATGGCCAAGAACAGCCTGTTGATTTGAAGAGACCTTTGTGACAAATCCTTACATCTTGATAAAATAAATCAGTGTGTATTTTGATTTTGGTGAAAGAGTTTGGCCTTTTGTTCTGATAAAAATGGCTTTAATTTCACAAATATCCTTTACAGGAGTAGACTTGATAGCAACTTTCTATGGCTGCTTATATGCTGGCTGTATACCTATCACCGTTCGCCCACCTCATCCACAGAATCTTGCTACCACTCTGCCCACTGTCAAAATGATTGTAGAGGTATGTATAAGACATTCCTTTCCTACTGCTTCTGGTGGGTGTAGGATGGTTGATGCAGCCTGATAAATTGCTTTGCCACAGTCAATGTAAAATAAACTAAGAAAAACAATAATCAGTATGCTGTGTCTGAGTCAATAAATACTTTTTCAGAAACTCGTTTAAAATGTTCTTCCTATTGTTGTAATTTATTTTGCTTTGTTTCCAATGTTTTCTTCACGTATTCAGCTTACTGATTATCTCATCTGGATGGATATGAAATCACTTGAGCGTTCATTCACTAGTTTTATAAATGTTTTTAATGCTGTGTCTTTTACAGGTCAGTAAGTCTGCATGTATACTGACCACACAAGCGATAATGAAACTGCTGAAGTCCAAGGAAGCTGCAACAGCTGTAGATATTAAAACATGGCCCACTATTTTGGATACAGGTACAGAATGTTTGCCCACTAGCCAAAATGTAAATAGTTTGAATATTGTTTAGAAACTAAACTATAGAAAGCATTTGGTGTTAATGCTGTAAAGATATATTTTTGTCCTGTGCTCTTTTTCCAAAATAATAATACAGTACTCTTTTTATATATTTTAAATAGATGATATGCCTAAAAAGAAGCTGGCTAGTATTTTCAGACCTGCATCTCCAGATATGTTGGCATACTTGGACTTCAGTGTGTCTACTACTGGTATATTAGCAGGAGTAAAGGTAGAGTAACAAGAGGGAGATGATTATACTTTGTTTCCTTATATATAGGCATATACCACATTCATTCCTCCTGCCAGAGAAGAAATAAAAAAATGTAAGTGGACCATGTTAGTGTTCAGAAAGCTTATTTTTAAATTTGCAAGACATCAAAATTTCTTGATGCACTTTTTGGAACATTCAGTCTTCCTGGCTCTATGTGAGGAATCACTGAGGGGACTAAATGGAGAGTGTTTATCATAAAGTTCATTAATGTTTTCTTTTGAGATTTATCGTAGAGATGTCAGATGTCATTTGGCATCGTTGGATGTCATGACAGATGTCATTTGCCACTAGCATGAAAATACCTATGAAATTTTGGGCTCGTATCCTTTTCTTGTTTTAAAGGTGCTTAAAAAAACCCAAACCACTACGTATTGCCACGTCTTCTACAATAAACGTTTCTATCAGTTATTACGTGTGATACCCACTTTTTAAAAAAGTCCCTGAGAGCGCCTGTTTTCCTCTTACAGATGTCACATGCAGCTACAAGTGCCTTATGTCGCTCTATAAAACTACAGTGTGAACTGTACCCTTCACGTCAGATTGCCATCTGCCTTGACCCTTATTGTGGCTTGGGATTTGCACTATGGTGCTTGTGCAGGTATGTTGTTTAAGTTGTAGGCTTTCTCATGTGTTCCCAGCCTTCTCTAGAATCCAAGGAAGCAGTCATGGATGAAACTGTCAGAGAAACCCATATTAACCTTTTTATAGGTATTTCATAAAATAAATTTTGTGGTAACAAAATTCATTTAAATAAGTTAGTTACTCGAGTTACTTGGGTTTTTCAAGTGGAATTAATTAGATACCAGAAAAAAAAAAGGACTTCACTGTCCATTTCACATTGATTAAATAAATCCTTTTAAAGTCTTTTGAGATTAAACCATATCTTTTTATAAGACCCTTAAGGTGTTGACTGCAAGATTAGTATGCACTAAGAAATACTGCTAAAGGAAGCAATTAAATGTTTCTTAAAACGAATGAGACCTGAATTGATTCAATCAGATAACTACTATAATGCAGCACATCTTGCAAAGCTGCAAAATTTTCCTCTTTTTTGCCTTTTAAAATATTCTACATATTTAACTAATCCAAAGATTTTATAGTGTTTTAGATATTTCATTTAAAAAATGCAGAAACTGAATATGAAAGGTTATTTTATAAACAGATAAAGTTAAATTTACTGTAGTTAACCTGTTCCTTCCCTCTCTAATTTCCCCAACTGGAAAGGAAATGTACTGAAGGAAAGCAAAAATTTAACTTTGGTAACATCTGATGATTTATATCATCAATAAAGTGAGGCAGGGTGGAGGGAGAAGAAGCCTCAGTGACGGAAGAATTAAAATCTAAATTGATTTTAAAAAATATTTTTAGGGAAGGGAGCTACGTGTGTCATGCTTTCTATACAAGAGTTAATATAAGGTCTACTGTGTTTCATCTGAGTTATAGCTTTGTTTTAGTGTGAAAGACTGTTTTATTACAGAATGATTTTTTTTTCTATTTTAGAATGTTTAAAAAGAAAACAAAAAAAACCTCCTCATCGCATTGCCCACTACAAAAACACGTCAGCTCTAGTCAGGAGAAATGGCAAGCATGTCAAGCTACCTGTTGAAAGCAATTAGAGATGCTGTTATTTTTTTTCAAGACGCATTGGTTTATCTAAGCCTGGTTTTACAGAGGGGCGTGTCATTGATTTTGTTGATACTAACTGATCTAAAAAACATTTGGTAATTTAAGACTATGGTCATGGCATTTACTGTCTTGAAATGAGTATGTGATATTTTAAAAAAAGTAATTAAAAGGTGGTGTGATTCTGAATTTGACTTTCTGTCCACTTATGTTAACTGGTATCCAGGTTAAATATTTCACATAAACACTGTTTAAAAACTGAGATGCCTACAGCAAAGGCTAGAAAATTGCACTAAAAACTTAAGTGGTGCAATGCAGGTGTTAAAGACTCATTTCACTCAAAGCAAAAGGTACATTTTCCCTAGAATGACTCAGAAAAATAAGCTCAATTGCCAATTGTAATCTGTAACTGAAATGGTGTTGCAAATGTTAACGTTTTAGTGTCAGAAGTTCTGACTATTCAAGGCATGGAGTATTTGCCTATAGTTCAACACAATTTACTGCAGAACAAATATACTCACCTTAAAGTTTGTGACTTAACTGAAACGCATAGTTCTTAGCTAACTAAGAGATACTTCTCTCTGTGGAGAAGATAAGCTGAAGTTCAAATAGATACCAAGCTCTCAGTTTTCCTGTATGTGCTTCATTTTGACTTATGTAACTTTTGGCTTTTTTATGCTGGCTTGAAGTTTTCGTGTTTCTTTTTCTTCCTCTCTCTAGTGTATATTCGGGTCATCAGTCTATTCTAGTCCCTCCTCTGGAACTGGAGAGCAATGTGTCTCTGTGGTTGTCTGCTGTAAGTCAGTATAAAGTGCGCGTCACGTTCTGCTCCTACTCTGTGATGGAGATGTGCACCAAAGGGCTTGGAACACAGACTGATATACTCCGGGTGAGTGGACTTAATTTTTCAACATACTGACATACAAATACATGTATCTTTCTAAAAATATTTCATTTCGGCTTGCAGAAGATGGGCCATAAATGTTTCTTTGAAAGCCTTTCATTATGACTTGCTTTTTGGGAAGTGTTGAGATTGCTGCAAGTTTCAGCTTTCATGTTTCTGATGGGGGGAAAAAAAGAAGCCTTATGTTTCAACTTCACGTATTTGTGCCACCTCTGTGCTGCTGGGTGTTTCTGAGATTCTGGGCAAGATACTTAGCAAGCCTATCAACTTTTTCTTGTCTGAGATGAAACAAACAAACAAACAAAAACCCACATCAAAAAAAACCCATAACCCCAAAGCCCCCACCAAACCCCAAAACCAAAAAACCTCTCTCCCCAGAAAAATCAAAACAAAAAGCCCCTCAAAACCTGGCACGTCTCACCTGCTTTCAGATCTCTTGACACCAAAAGTATTGAGTACTAAAATGGATGTAATCTTCTTAACAGCAGCAATTACACACTAATACATCCATTTATTTTTCAGGGAAATCTCTTTAACTGAAACTTAATGTCCCTGAAGAGGCGCCTCTGTCTCAATGGTAGGAGACTTCCCACAGTTGTAGTAACTAAGCTGCTCAGGACTTCCACTGGGAATGTCTGGCAGCTTGTTGTGCACAAGAAAGCGGCTACATTGTGCTTATTCTCAGTATAGACAAAAAACTGTGTCCCTCTGTTCTCCTGGACCTCATTGAAGGGAATCCTGGCCCACAGCCAGCTGCTACAGGTTGTCATTGACGCTGATGAGAGCTAATAATGTCTCAAACATTCTGCCTGCATCTGAACTGTGCAGCACTGGGAGCAAGCGGGTCTCTTATGAGCCCAAACCTGTGACACAATGACATTTTGTGGTTTTTTCAGCTCAAAACAATGAGTGGCTATGTTGCAGCTACCTGATGGGAGGAGTTTGCATCAAACCCTACTGCAAATCTTCTTGGCACAATTTTAGAGGGTTGTCCTGAGTGGATGGAGCCAAACTGGGTGCAGTCCGTGTCTATATTGTTTAACTAGTCCATGTCAGTTATTCTAGCATTTTTAAAGTCCATCTGTTCCGCAAATTAAAGTGGCTTATTTCTAGAATTGTTGACTTCAAACTTAAAATGTTGTTGTTTTCTTCACCCAACCTCTCAGGTGAAAGGAGTTAACCTGTCCTGCGTGCGAACATGCATGGTGGTTGCAGAGGAGAGACCAAGGATTACATTAACACAGTCTTTCTCTAAGTTATTCAAAGACCTGGGCCTCTCTGCTCGTGCAGTGAGCACTACATTTGGGTGCAGGGTCAACGTAGCAATTTGCTTACAGGTGGGATTAAACTGCTTATTCCTTATGCTTATGGACAGAATCTCTGGGAACTTTATAGGAAATCATGTTCAGCTGTATGTAATTTTTTTCTAATGAACTAGAACTCCATTGCTTGCTTGCTTCATCACCAAGTTAAATAAGCCTTCAAGATGTGGATTATGATAATTTCATTTTTGTGTGCTAATTAACCAATTGATTTGCTTTTCTAATACAGAGGATCTGTATTAAGAAATCTGTTTCCTTCCTACTATGCAGGAGCGGTATTAAATTAAATGCACAGCTTCATGGTCATAAACATATTAAGTATTTCAAGCAGTGCTATTTCAGCTTTTGTGTGATTCATATTTTGCCTGTTTGAAAAGTAGCTTATGTATATGTGGAATTAAATGGATGACAGAGTTCTTCAAATAAGACACAGGAAAAATGACAAGGTTGGCAGGTTTTTCTAGTTTTAAAGATCTCAAATGAGTATTATCAACATGCAAATACATTTGTCTCACCTCATGTGAGAGCTGGACTTCTTCTTCAATTAAAGTTGTAAAATTGGAAGCTTTGAAGGGGAGAATATGCCCATAAAATACACAGCCCTGCTTCACAGACTGGAGATAATGACATGCTGTGGTCCAGACCCACCTTTGACAGTTTAGTATTCAGTTGACAATGATCTTGTATGTGTAATTTAACCAGATTAAATCTAACTTTTCCTAATGAGATGTTTCATCTTCAGTTAGGAGAGAAAAAAAAAAAATGTATTCCACAACTTACCTGAAAATCAGGTACTAAGTATGGTCTAGAAATTGGCAAAGCATCCTGGGTTTTGGATGATACTTGAGTTAATAGATAAACTGCTCAAGTTTCAGATGTGGCAGTATGTAGTTTTGTATGTGAGGAATTTCATAGTTGGCACATGCGTTAAGTATGTGTGTAATTGTAAATTTTATTTCCAATTTTATTGGTATAAATTACACTTAATAAAAAATATGATTGTATAAAGATTGCTACTGTGCTTTTGCAAAACTTTTTTTTTTCTTTTTTTTTTTTTTTTTCTGGTGCCCACTAGGTGAAGTAAAGCCTTTTTTCCTCTCAGAATATATTTTAATGTTCTAGATTTCCTACAAGAGAGATGTTTTGGGCCATGAGCTTCTTAAATATGTTGCCATTCATAATTGTTTCTTTAGTTTCTATAGTTTCTTTCACACATATTAAATGATAAAAGGTTTTTAACAACCGCTAGATAAATGGTTATAAAGAAATGTGGCCAGAGCAATTTTATGAATCAGTAGATTGAAAAATAGGAAGGATATAGATGAAATTAAGATGACTGTGCAGAAAGATTTTAAATTCATTGAATAAAACATTTCAGATGCCAAGTGTGAAAGAACAGCTTTCTGAATTGCCTGACTAAATAAGAATTTTAAAAGCCAGCTTTGGATATTTGCTGTTCAGAGTGTACAAAGGGGAAAAAACAGTTTTTCTACAGAATGTTAAATGGCAGTGTGAACAGTACTCCAAGAAAACGGTGAAGAGTGTAGGGCTGCTGGGCAGTTAAGCTTCCCCTTCATTTTATACCTTTTTTGTCTCTGTTGTCTGTTCTTGAGCCCTTTTTTAGTGTTTTTTTAAACCCCTTTCCCCCATTCTTCCAAAGTGATATCTGTATTTGACTTCTTTAAATCATTGAATTTAAATGAGTGTAGATTAATAACCAATCTGAATGCGTATTTGATACAAGTTAGCACGCAAATAAATATGTAACGTCTTTCAACCTTACTGGACTGGTTTAGTGAGGTGGTGTTTCTGAAGCTGCAAGCAGCCTTTAGATACTTACAGATGGAGGAGGGATTTATGATAAGGCAACAGGCATTACATATGATCTGCCTTAAACCTTGTCTTGTTTATTAACTGGGACTTGCATGTTTCCCAATGAACCACTTAAAAGTGCCAAGCTCTTGAATAATCTGAAATGGAAATTTTCTTTTCACTCTAAAACAGTATGAGTTTTGTTTTCTGTCTTACTGTGTGTATCTTATGTTTCCAGTGCCTCTGTTTGTATTTTCTTTTTTCCCCTTTCTCTCTGTTTCACACACTTTGATGGCCTCTGTTACTTCTGTTTGTGGTCCCGCTGTCAGCCAAACAGGCTGGGCAAGCTGGCTGAACAGGTATAGTGATGCATGTGTGCTTGTAATGTCCTAAAGTCAGTCTGGTTC